GACAGAGGAGAGTTTTTTTGGGGGGGGGATGCGTGCGTCTTGTGAGGGTGCGCGACTTTGGGGGGGAAGGGAGAGAAAGAGACAAGGCGGAAGAGGCTAATTCCCAACACTCGCCCCCCCCCAAAAGGGTGGCCTCCTAAATCTAAGGACTCCTCTGTAAATGAGCGGCCGCTTATCCACCTTCCTTTTCTGATGCATAAGAGCCGATTAGTTGGGGAAGAGGAAAAAAAAACACAAATCCAGTTCAAAGACCATCACTTCCAAAAACCCAAGCAAAAAGCCCCAGAGGATGCAGGCTTCCCTTTGGGATAGACTGCTGCAGCACATGGAGGCTCTGTTTGGATGGAGCGCCCTTGTGGGGAAGGGGTTTGATGGGGGACTGGGGAAATCCAGGTGGTTGTTCTAACGAGGCCATGAACCTCCCAAGGTGGTTTGCCTTGGGCTGGTTGTTCTTTTCCGTCCGACCAACCGACCTACCTCACAGGAATGTCGTTCCGAGGGTACGCTGAGGAGGGAGAACGCAGGTTTCCTTGAGCACATTAGGAGGAGGTTGGAGGAAAGAAATCGAACTGATCAACCAATAAGGGATGGGGCACATAAACAGGTATCAGAGCTGTTGACCCTAAACTAGGGTCAATGGCTACCTATACTTGCGCCAAACTGTCTCAAGGACCCCGTTTATGAGCCTACTCAGGTGCTAAGATCAACAGGGGAGACTTTTCTCTCAATCCCACCACCTTCACGGGTGTATCTTGTGGGGACCCGGAAGAGGGCCTTCTCTGTGGCCGCTCCCGGAGACTCTGGAACTCCCTCCCACTGGAGGCCAGCTTGGCCCCATCTCTGCTATCCTTCCGCAAGCAGGCAAAAGGCTTTGCTCTTCAGGCAAGTTTTCCCTCAGCGACTGGCCAAAGGAGTGTGACTTTTAGATGGATGGCTGTTCCTTGACTGCTTTCAATGTTTTTTTTTGGGGGGGGTATTGCTTTCGTTTACCATTTTTTTTAAAGCATGGCATTCGTTTGATCCTTTCTAGTATCTGTATACCTACTCTTTTTAGCTTTGAACATTGTCTTTAAATTATGTAAGCCGCCTCGGGTCCTTTTTTAAGGAGAAGAGCAGGGTAAAAATATTTTAAATGGATACATAAACAGTTAAAATAAATCGAATGAACGAATTTTTGCTGGAGTGAATCTCCCGATGGCTCGAGGCCGTTCGTGCGACGAATCCCCCTTCATGTCTGTCTGTCTGTCTGATGGGTGTCCCCTAACTTTAAAGTTCCAGGAGGGCAAGCTGATGAGCTGGATCCCCAGGTAGATCATGACTCTTAGGCTGCTCCAATCAAAAATCTCTCCCCCCCCCTTTTTTTAAAACCCAACAGCTTCTGGGATCTGCTCTTAATTAACTCCTCGAGTTGCTACCTTCTCTTCCTAGAGCCTCTAACAGCGACCCCGTGACCCCTACCCCTCCCCGCTTATTGCGGGCTTACAAGGGTTGGGTTCGCTTTGGAAATCCTCGGCTCCTTAACCTGGTGAACCCCGAGGCCTCTCGCTTGTGGGGCTGCTGTGATCAAGCCCGCCAGGTTAATCAGGCAGGGCAGGAGGAGGGCAAGGACGAGGTGGAGGAAGTGGGGAAGGGGGGGACCCCCCCTTGCAATCTGAGCCCCTTCAGTAGCTGCGCCGATCCTCCTCGGGGCAACATGGGACCTCCCCCCCCTCCCCGGTGTCCCCCTTTGAACTCTCTTCAATTGGGTGGTGGGGGTGGGGGGTCAAAATAATTACAGTCCCAACAGAAGCATTCTGGAAATCCCTGCTAAACCCAAGCTTGCTCCTTAAAGGATTTACGGGGAGGGGCTCGGGAGCTGACAGAAGGAGGTGGAAGTGGCCACGGGAAGGGGGCTGGTGGTTTCTGATTTCAGAGAATCAAAGCATTGTAGGCAGGACAGGGACTCTTGGGGGGGTGATCTAGCCCTACCCCCTTGCCAAAGAGGAGTCCACAGCCATTCAGAAGCAGACAGATGCTCCCCCGACCTCTTTTAAGAAACCCATAATGAATAAGACTCTACTCTCACCTTTCCTTCCTACAGACTCGTCTTCCAATGTGACCCCCCGCCGGTATTAGCTTTATGAGGGCATCACAAGGTTTCCATCAACAGTGTGAACTTAGGTGCCTCTCCCCAATGCAATCAAATAATATTATGGGATTCCCCATGGATCTGCTCAACTTATAGATTTAAGTCAGGAAAGCAACGGGGTGTGCAGTGAATGGAGCAGCTGATCTCCTGCTAGGCTCCCCTCACTAGCAACCCAGTACTTGCAAAGCTTTTCTTTGTAACCCGTGATGGGATTTAGGAAACAGCAAGGCAGCAGGTTTTTCATTTTCTGGAACAGATGAAAGCGCCAGTGTTGGAGCCCCCCCCTCCACTTTCTCAACAACGGCTGACTCTCAATTTATGGAATGGGAGTAGAGATGGGCGCGAACCACCAGTTTGTCGGTTCGTGGCAGTTCGTACTGATGTTTGGTGCTTCCCAACCCTGCCTCCTCTGTCAGGTGCCCACTCCGAAGCAGTGCACAGAGGAGGCAGGGCAGGAAAGCCGGGGTGCTGCCTCTGCATGGGCGCACAGCAGAGGAGGCAGGTCTTCTGGGAACTGCCAAACACCTGTTCTTCCCATGGAGGAACCAGCGCAAAACACCGAATCAGCAGTTTGTGCCCATCTCTAGATGAAAGGAAAGCCCACACTTAGTAAGTCGGCTGGTTTTCCCCTTTCAGCTAATGGCATCATCTCCATCCTCTTTGCATGCAGAACAATTCCTGGATCCGGGATCACGATGAAACAGGATCGACGCACTCGGGCACTCCGGGCCCCTCTAGTGGCGGGATTGCATCGCAAAGTGGAGATAACTCTAGTGAACAAGGTAAGCAGACCAAGGAGCTTGGAGGAGAGGAGGAGAGAAGCCGGTCTGCCCTGCTTCTGGATTCTCCTTGTGGTCGGACAGTGCAGGAGATTTTGTGCAGAATTCCTTGCGTATCATAATAATTCCAATGGTTCTTCACGTTCACGCCGTACATCCGTGTAGGCTGTCTCCACGGATATTTGCTTGTGAATCTTAGAACACTTCACTTCCAGGGGAAAAAAGACATTTCCTGCAAATAATTCCATACCCAACTCCGATTGGAATCCCTTCTTTGGAGAACGAGCAAAAACTGCTGTGGTCTCATTGCTTTTCTCAGAACTCAGTTGTCTTCGTCCCTAGCGTCATGGTAGGGCCGACCAGCATTGGCAGTGCGATAACTTGAGCGAGGGCAGATAAAGCCAACTCAGAGCAAAGGCAACTGGCGTGACGTTGCCCTCTCTCTGAATGGGAGAGCTACATGTAATGTACTCATTTTCTCTCCGGAGCGTCCTTTTCCACAGATCAACGAAGCAAAGTTAACTTCTGGTAGCAGATTAAAGGGTTGTGTTTTTTTTTTTAAACAACTACAACCGAAACACTGTTTAATTACTTCCCTTAGAATGATGACTTCATTCTGCTTTCTAGCATTTGAGGTGACGTTCACGCCGTACATCCGTGTAGGCTGTCTCCACGGATATTTGCTTGTGAATCTTTGAGCAGAACACTTCCAGGGGAAAAAAGACATTTCCTGCAAATAATTCCATACCCAACTCCGATTGGAATCCCTTCTTTGGAGAACGAGCAAAAACTGCTGTGGTCTCATTGCTTTTCTCAGAACTCAGTTGTCTTCGTCCCTAGTGTCATGGTAGGGCCGACAAGCATTGGCAGTGGGATAACTTGAGCGAGGGCAGATAAAGCCAACTCAGAGCAAAGGCAACTGGCGTGACATTGCCGTCGCTCTGAATGGGAGAGCTACACGTAATGTACTCAATTTTCTCTCTGGAGCCTCCTTTTTCACAAATCAACGAAGCGAAGTTAACTTCTGGTAGCATATTAAAGGGTGTTTTTTTAAAAAACAACAACAACAACAACAACAACAATGAAACACTGTTCAATTACTTCCCTTAGAATGATGGCTTCATTCTGCTTTCTAGCATTTCAAGTTCATCTTGTGTGGTAGGAAGGTTACCACTTTTGGGATGTAGATGATGATTAATTCTCATCATATGACCACGTGTATGAGTGAAATACGAGGTCTGGCAAAGGCCAGCTGGTGACTTTATGCCTGAGTTAGGATTTCAGCTGGGGCTTGTAGGTGCTAATTTTTCAGAGTCCACGCCAAAATGAAAAGTCATGGATCTTTAGCAGAAGAGCAAGGAAGGAGGGCCGGGCACCCCATGGGCTCATTGAATTTGCCCGGTTTGAAATGACCTGTGTGTGAGAACTGGACTGAAGTGTAACGCCGAGATTCAGTTCTGGGGTAAAGCACGATTATAAAATTGATTTGTGTTTGGAACGCTGTTTGACTCAGATTGGGCATAAATTGCTTTAGCCTATTAGAGCTGCGTGTTTGTGTAAGGGCATGGTTTTGTGTGTTTTTTTTTTTCTCTGAATATTGGGGAAAACTTCCTAACTGTTAGAGCAGTACAACAATGGAACCAGCAACCTCAGGAGATGGTGGACACTCCAATGCTGGAGGCATTCAAGAGGAGATCAGACCACCCTCTATCAGGTCTGCTTTGATTTGGGTTCTTGCCTCGAAGCAGGGGGTTGGACTTGATAGTCTTAGAGGTCCCATCCAACCCCATTATTCTACAAAAAGCTAATGGCCATGGTGGGCAAATCCCTTAAGCATATTGCCTGAAAGCTGAGAGCTTGACTCTTTTTTAGGATTCACCCTTTCCCCAAAGAGAGAGCCATTGTCAGTCTGCTGCATCACGACAGCCAAGAGTCCTCTAAAGAGTTTTAAAGGGCATAAAGGATCTCCCATAAAGCTGATGACAAGTAAAAGTCTTACAAGGCCCCCAAGAGTGGTTGCCAAGGGTTCCAAGACTGCTCTACCTCCAAATTCCACAGCCCCCCCAATTCAAAAACCACAAATACCATTTTGATTTCCCAAGGGAAGGGGTGATTGAGAAATGGATTCAGATCCAGGTTGCAGGTCAAACCAGGTGGAGCACAAATTGTTCCAAATCAAATGAAGATACAGTGGTAGCCTTAAATCGGGGACCAAGCCAGGGGAACCCACAGACAGTCCTCCTTGCAAGGATTTTGCTTTTTCTCAGTGCTGGATTGCCCCTGATTTCTCCTCTGTGGATGGGGTGCAGCTAAACCTGAGGTTGAGTTGTTGGCGATGAGAAATTGGAGACAAGAAACAGAGTCGAAATAGAGGGATTGTGTTGGCCTGCTGGTTCTTGTACATGGCGATTTATAGAGCAAGAAAAGCATTAAAATAAATTAACTAGCTAACTAACTAACTCGTGCCTCAGGCTCCCTGCCCTACACAGTTGGCAGTGAATTTCAAGAGTGCCTTGTAACACCAAGTCCATAAAAGAGAGGGAATGTAGAAGCGAATGAATGGGGTCCAGGCAGTTTCATGGACCGCTTCCCCCTCGTAGACTTGTGACATCAAAATGGAGGAGGAGCATTAAAATAAATTAACTAGCTAACTAACTAACTCGTGCCTCAGGCTCCCTGCCCTACACAGTTGGCAGTGAATTTCAAGAGTGCCTTGTAACACCAAGTCCATAAAAGAGAGGGAATGTAGAAGCGAATGAATGGGGTCCAGGCAGTTTCATGGACCGCTTCCCCCTCGTAGACTTGTGACATCAAAATGGAGGAGGTGTTCCCGAAAAACAGGAGAGGATGGTGGTCAAAA